ACCACTGGGCTTATTTCAACCAAACTTGGCACAAAGTATCTTTGGGTGAAGGGGATTCAAGTTTGTTCAAATGAAGGGCCATGCCCTTTTCCAAGGGGAGATAATCATTAATTTGTTAAAAATTAATGGCATTTTTTAAAAATCTTCTTCTCCAGAACCACTGGGCCAGGAAAGATGAAACTCATATGGAAGCATCTTCAGGTAGTGTAGATTCAAGTTTGTTCAACTCATGACCCCTGGGGCAAGGATGGGGCCAAAATGGCCGTCCCAAGTTTTACATAGGAATATATAGGAAAAATCTTTAAAAATCTTCTTCTCCAGAACTACGGGGCCAGGAAAGATGTAACTCATGTGGAATCATCCTCAGGTAGTGCAGATTCAAGTTTGCTCAAATCATGACCCCTTGGGCAAGGGTGGGGCCAAAATGGCCAACCCAAGTTTAACATAGGTATATATAGGAAAAATCTTTAAAAATCTTCTTCTCAAGAACCACTGGGCCAGGAAAGATGAAATTCATATGGAAGCATCTTCAGGTGGTGTAGATTCAAGTTTGTTCAAATCATGACCCCCGGGGGAAGGAGGGGGCCAAAATGGCCGACCCAAGTTTAACATAGGAATATATAGGAAAAATCTTTAAAAATCTTCTTCTCAAGAACAACTGGGTTGGGAAAGATGAAAGTCATGTGGAATCATCCTGAGGTAGTGTAGACTCAAGTCTGTTCAAATCATGACCCCGGGGCAAGGGTGGGGCCACAATGGCCAACCCAAGTTTCACATAGGAATATATAGGAAAAATCTTTAAAAATCTTCTTCCCAAGAACCACTGGGCCAGGATAGATAAAACTCATGTGGAATCATCCTGAGGTAGTGTAGATTCAAGTTTGTTCAAATCATGACCCCCGGGGCTAGGGCGGGGCTGAAATAGCCGACCCAAGATTTACATAGGATGATATAGGAAAAATCTTTAAAAATCTTCTTCTTAAGAACCATTGAGACAGGAAAGATAAAACTCATGTGATATTATCCTCGGGTAGTGTAGATTAAAGTTTCTTCAAATCATGACCCCTGGGGCGAGGGCGGGGCCAAAATGGCCAACCCAAGTTTTACATAGGGATATATTGGGAAACCAATATATTTAAAATCTTCTTTTCAAGTACATCAAAGCCATGATTAGTCATATTTATAAGGAATCATCCTAAGGTAGTGTTAGTTCAATTCATGAACCCCTGGGGGGTTAAAATTCAGCCCCCCCCCCAAACATCACCTCAGTAAACTTTCAGTTCTGATCTGATATGTGCTTTTTCCTAGCCAATGTGCTCAGGTGAGCGCTGTGGCCCCTGGGCCTCTTGTTTTAACATTCCGTAAGATGCACCCTATTAATTCTACCCCATGGCGGGACCCTTGCTGACTGGTCAGTTTTTAGCTCTTCTGAGCCAAAGGCTCAAAGAGCTAATGCTATGGCCATTTGTGCGGTGTGCGTCGTGCGGTGTGCGGTGTGCGTTAACTTTTCAGAATATGGGCCATAACTCAAGAACCCTTTGGCCAATCTGTGTCAAATTTGTCACAGGGTATCCTTGGCCCAAGGGCTACCATTTATACTAAAATAAGGGTTGGGACCCTAAAACAAGGGGAGATAATCAGGAAAACAAAACCAAAAGTACTGGTTGCAAAAAAATCTTCTTGTCCAGAACCGCCAGGCAGATTTTCACCAAACTTACATACAATGATCAGGATATGTTGAAGATTAAAAACTGTTCAAGGCATGACCCTGGGGCAAAGGGCGTGGCCTCAAGGTCACTTCAAAGTTGACATAAATTTACAATTAATGAAAACGTTTATATTTTGCTTACTATTAGGACTAGGATCATCAAATCTTGTAAGTTGATGCATCTCAGGACTTCACATCATGTTAACTCAAAAGTAAGTCACGGTGACCTACTTTTTAAATTTTGTAAGCATTTGTTTTCAAATTGATTTGAAGGCATATTTCGGGCACATTAAGGCCTATGATCATCAAACTTTGTCAGTTGATGCATCTTGGGTCCTTGAACAACGTCAACCTAAAAGTAGGTCACCGTGACCTACTTTTTGAACTTGATGACTAATTCTTTTTAAAACAATTAATCCAATTATTTCAGACACTGAGAGGTTTAGAATCATCAAATCTTGTAAGTTGATGCATCTTGAGACCTGAGAACATTTTTATGAAAAAGTAGGTCACTGTGACCTACTTTTAGAATTTTGCAGGCATATGTTTTCAAATTGTTTAAAAGGCATTTTTTGATTACCTTCAGGCCTACAATCATCAAACTTGGTCAGGAGATGCATCTTGGGACTCTGAAAAATGTCGACCAAAATGTAGGTCACGGTGACCTACATTCGACATTTTATGGCTACATTTAAGTATCTTAGGTATTTATTGGCTTAGAATCATCAAACTTTGTGAGTTGATGCATCTTGGGTTTTCGGAGAGTGACGACCAAAAATTAGGTCACAGTGACCTACTTTTGACATTTTATGGCTATATTTAAGTATCTATGGTACTTATTGGCTTAGAATCATCAAACTTTGTCAGTTGATGCATCTTGGGTTTTTGGAGAGTGACGACCAAAAATTAGGTCATGGTGACCTAATTTTGACATTTATGGCTACATTTAAGTATTTCCTTTACAAATTGGCTTAGAATCATCAAACTTTGTCATTTGATGCATCTTTGGTCTTTGGAAAATGTCAAGCAAAAAGCAAGTCACAGTGACCTACTTTTGACATTTTATGGCTATATTTAAGTATCAACGGTACTTATTGGCTTAGAATCATCAAACTTTGTGAGTTGATGCATCTTGGGTTTTCGGAGAGTGACGACCAAAAATTAGGTCACGGTGACCTATTTTTGACATTTTATGGCTATATTTAAGTATATTCGGTACTTATTGGCTTAGAATCATCAAACTTTGTGAGTTGATGCATCTTGGGTTTTCGGAGAGTGACGACCAAAAATTAGGTCACGGTAACCTACTTTTGACATTTTATGGCTATATTTAAGTATTTCCTTTACAAATTGGCTTAGAATCATCAAACTTTGTCATTTGATGCATCTTGGGTTTTCGGAGAGTGATGACCAAAAATTAGGTCACAGTGACCTACTTTTGACATTTTATGGCTATATTTAAGTATCTACGGTACTTATTGGCTTAGAATAATCAAACTTTAAGAGTTGATGCATCTTGGGTTTTCGGAGAGTGACGACCAAAAATTAGGTCATGGTGACCTACTTCGACATTTTATGGCTATATTTAAGTATCTTGGGGACTTATTGGCTTAGAATCATCAAACTTTGTCAGTTGATGCATCTTGGGTTTTCGGAAAGTGACGACCAAAAATTAGGTCACAGTGACCTACTTTCGACATTTTATGTCTATATTTAAGTATCTTAGGTATTTATCCGCTTAGAATCATCAAACTTAGTCAGCAGATGCATCTTTGGATTCTGAAAAATGTAGACTAAAATGTAGGTCATGGTGACCTACTTTCAACATTTTATGGCTATATTTAACTATCTCTGGTACTTATTGGCTTTGAATCATCAAACTTTGTCATTTGATGCATCTTGAGTTTTCAGAGAATGTCGACCAAAAAGTAGGTTACAGTGACCTACTTTCAACTTTTTATGGCTATATTTAAGTATCTTAGGTATTAATGGCTTAGAATAATCAAACTGTGTAAGTTGATGCATTTTGGGTTTTCCAAGAATGTAGACCAAGAAGTAGTCCTTATTGGCTAAGAATCATCAAACTTTGTCAGGTGGTGCAACTTTGGTCTCAGGATACCTAGGGTTAGAGGCTTCAAATACAAGTGATAGGTTGTACAATTTATCAGAAGAGTGATTCAAGGCCCTTGGGCCTCTTGTCTAGTTATGTTAAGCAATGGTGCCTCTTTCAAAATTGTGAATTGTGAATTTCATGGCCTCTGGTTTAAAACACGAACCAAATTTAATTGTTTGAAAGTTGTTGCACAATACTCAGGTGACCTATAAGGCCCATGGGCCTCTTGTTAAAAAAGTCTTCCCCTCAAGAACCACTGGGCCAGGAAAGATGAAACTCATGTGGAATCATCCTCAGGTAGTGTAGATTCAAGTTTGTTCAAGTCATGACCCCCGGGGGTAGGGCAGGGCCAAAATGGCCAATTAAAGTTTTACATAGGAACATTTAGGAAAAATCTTTAAAAATCTTCTTTTCAAGAAATACTGGGCCTGGAAAGATGGAACTCATGTAGAATCATCCTCAGGTAGTGTAGATTCAAGTTTGTTCAAGTCATGACCCCCAGGGGTAGGGCGGCGCCAAAATAGCCGATCAAAGTTTTACATAGATATATATAGGAAAAATCTTTAAAAATCTTCTTCTCAAGAACCACTGGGCCAGGAAAGATGAAACTCATGTGGAATCATCCTCAGGAAGTGTAGATTCAGGTTTGTTCAAGTCATGACCCCCGGGGGTAGGGCGGGGCTAAAATGTCCGACTAAAGTTTTACATAGAAATATATAGGAAAATTCTTTAAAATCTTCTTCTCAAGAACCACTGGGCCAGGAAAGATGAAACTCATGTGGAATCATCCTCAGGAAGTGTAGATTCAGGTTTGTTCAAGTCATGACCCCGGGGTAAGGGTATGGCCAAAATGGCCGACCAAAGTTTTACATAGAAATATATATGGAAACCTTTTTAAATCTTCTTTTCAAATACTTCAAAGCCAGGATTAGTAATATTTGTATGGAATCATCAAATTATCATCCCCTTCTGGGTTAAAATTCAACCCCCTGCCCCCAACCTAAATTAACTTTCAGTTCTGATCTGATATGTTTTTTCCTAGCTGATGTGCTCAGGTGAGCGCTGTGGCCCCTGGGCCTCTTGTTTTCAGGTGGAACAGAACCACCAGAGACCTTTTAACATTTACTTCAATTATCTTTTACATGTAAAATGATTTTAAGTAATTTACTTTGTTATTAGATTATGTTTACTTCTGGCTTGAATCCATAAAATCATTCGGTGGGAAAACTCCACAAATACTTGCTGTGGCTTCACATGCAGAGTACAAAGGAGAAGAGGTATGTTAAAAATTTTATGAATGATTTTTTGATGAGTTCTTAGACTGTACTACAAAATTACAATACTGTACTGAATATGCTCACGTGGTGACAATACCTGTTTGTTGGTTATTGGATATTCTTTTAAATACTGAAAAACCTAAAAAGTTTGGTTTAATCGAATTGAATAAATTTTAGTTCAATAAAAGAAATAAAAAAAAATTATCAGTCCAATTTCAAAACATTTACCGTATATCGGTTTTTTTTTTTCGCTTGTTGTAATTTTTGCGAAAAGGGGGGGGGGATTAGTTCAGTTCTTATTTTGCTTAAGTTATTTTTTTACAAAAGAAGATTTTTTGATTAAAATAATAATGTTTTTATGTCACATCTGCTTGTTTTATTTTTTGCGAATTAAAAATGGACGCAAAAAATGCGAAAAATAGATCATCGCGGATTTTCGGTATTCTAGCTGTGTTTCTTTTAAATTGTCTACAATTTGCCAATATTAAACCATTTCGAATAACTTATGAAATATTGGTGCTTTTTACATGTATACATTTGCTTAAAAACACATACATAGGAGAATGGTGAAATAATCTGTTGCATTGAGCTATATATTTTCAATAACCAAAGGAATAACGAGAGAGTTTACATTATGGATATATTAGTATAAGATCTTGGATGAAATATGAAAATAACAAAAAAGTATTCCAGCTCTTCTTTGAAATATATTTTCCTGAATACCGGTATATGTGTGATTTTTCAGATTTAAAAAAATATGATTCGGATTATAATTGTTAAAATTTTTATTTAGGAAAAAGGCCTCTTTTGGCAAACTTTTTGGAGATTAATAACGGAAAAAGATTGTGACTGGGTTGGAAAATGCATTAATCCCCGTGGATTTTCATTAGGACTTATAGAGATGAAAGAAGATGAAGCAAAAACACTGAAGTGTTTAAAACAAACAATTGCTGAGGTGGTATCGCAAAGTCCAAAAGCTGAGTTAGAAGTTCCATCAGCATGGGCCCTTCTTGAGCATCTCTTGCGAAAGACAGAGAAACCAATCATGTCACTTGAAGAAATAAACAAAGTGAATAAAACACTTCCAAATAACTATCAGTTAAAAAATCAGGAGGAAATTTTCGATTTTCTGTCATTTTTCCATGAACATGGATTATTACTGTTTTTTAAAGACGAAGGACTGAGAAAATATGCAATTTTCGGAATGCAGTGGTTTTCCAATGCATTCAGTAAACTTATTGCAGACAGGAAGCAAATCAGCCAAGACTGAAATACAAAATACATTAAAAAATGTGAATGTTTCAACAAAACTGGAAAACTGGAAGATGAACTTGTCGAAGCTCTCTGGACAGTTGATCAATCGTATTTAGATCACAAGACAGAACTTATGCTATATATGGAGAGGTTACTAATGTTAGTAAGCATAGTTGATGGCGCTGACAAAACCTCGTGGTATGTCCCCTGCATGAATAATAAGAGTTTTACACGCCACATATTTAAAAGGAAATGGAGGTACTCTTCCATTTTGTGCTTTCGGTTTACATCCTTTGCTATGTTCGTGTATTACAGACTGATTGCATACTGCATGAGTTCCCTTAAGTGGATTGCACAGCTTGATGAAGACAAAAGTCCTTGTCTGTATCACACAGCAGCAATCTTTGAAACAACAAAAAATCACACTGTTATTGTTGGTATTTTTGATAATGACATCCAGATACAGGTCATTAGAATCAATAAGTTGCAACTAAAGGTTTCCTGTGAAATTGGAAGGTCCATTGAAAATGCCTTAACACAATTGACAAAGACATTTGAGGAAGAGAAAACCTTTCAGAAAGGTTATAAATGTTTGAATGTTTTCTGCAGTGAAGAGGATATGTCATTCATCCCCGAAAAGAAATTGTCTGAAGCTAAAGAAATTCAATGCAATTGCCCAATAGTGGATAAACACGAAATAGACGTTCATGAAACTTTAATGTTCTGGGAAGAGGTATGTATATACATGTTGTACATAGGATAAAACTACCCTATTCAGTTAAATGAGGTGACAAAAAGCCTCACCAAAGGTCAATGAATGACAGATCTCTCCCATTTAATGACCTATGTAGAATTTTCACTCACCATTCAGTTGAATGAATGATGTAAGTTCTATGATTTTTGTTAACTCTATACAAGTAAAAGCTTAATTTAGGGATCAATTAACGTCTCTCATTTAAAATCTTATTTAAATAGAGCAATTTAATGCTATTTGCAATGCTTCAAAATATCCAAGAAATGTCAAATACAATGATATGATTTAAGTAAAATGAGTGAAGATAACTAACGGGGATCAAGGTCATATTTATGAAGAGGATTTCAATTGAGAACAGGATGAAATCACGGGTTCATGCAAACATCACAGATAGGACTTGGTGACTGGAAAGAGAATGCATTTCCTGTTAATTGACAATAATTTTGCAGCCCTCTGAATTTGTTGAGAAAAATGTAGTCAAAAGTAGTATTAAATGGATCTACTAAACAACATATACCGGGTAGTGTATTTAAACAAAGTGATTTGTATTTCACTGACTAAATCTAGTCCATTGAACATCTTTTAACATAGTTTACTTTTCAGCAGATTGTCTTGGATACACAAATGTTTGTCTTTTCATTTTTGGTTTTCAAAACCAAAAGTTTCAGTAAGCACCTAAAGTAATGTTCCCTTTTGCTAATAAATTACATAGTTACTTTTTATATAAAAAATGCGACCTATTGATATGTGTTTTGACCATCGTTGTTCGTCGTTTGATTATTTTCAGCTTCTTCTCTTAAATCACAGAACCAGTTTCAAACAATTTATTATATATCATCATTGGGCAAAGGGGCACAAATACAATGAACTTTATTCATACCCTTACGGCTTGAGTTATGGGGCTAAAACCATCAAAATAATGCCTTCTTGAAAAAAAAACGTCATTTTTCTCCTACAAATCATGCAGTCAAATTGTTAGCCAAATTGTAATAATTGGCACTCTGTCCAAAATTTTAACATTACTGGGTCCAGGTCCAGGGTCAAGGTTCTTGAGTTTTGGTAAGGCTCTACATAGTAAAAGTGCATAAATTCTTCCATCTTCTTTCCCCCTGTATGTTTAACAGGTCAAATTGATGGTTGGTAATGATGAGCAAAGTGCCTCATCCAAGATTTTAAAATTTGTGGTTCAAACATCAGGGGTTCTGGTATACAGATTATAAAGTAGAAAACTGGAAATGCCTCATTTTTCTTAAGATGGTCTTTTCTTCTCCGTGGTACAAACCAAAATAAAATGCATATTATTAATAAACAAGGTTGCCACTTCCAATATTGTGAATTTCATAGGTCAGGGGTTCTTGTGGTGTAAGTGTTGGGGCTCTATTGATCATAGAGTAAAATGCATTGTTCATTTTAAATTTTTTCTTCCGGGACCGTCATGGTAGCTCAGACGTTAGTTCGCTCGCTCCGTATTTGGAAGGTCGTGGGTTCGAATATTGGCCAGTCTTATGTCGTTCAAATAAATAGTAGTTAGGAACTGTTCCTTCGCCATGCGCTGCGCACTTTGAAGTGAAATTTGTAGATCCTTCGAATGAAACCTTAAAATCCGAGGCCCGTGTGACTGCAGACGATGGCACGATAAAATCCCTCACTGTTCAATTGCCCTTGGTGTCGAGTAAAGGTAAAAATTCATAGCCTTTCACCGGTATATGGTTAGGTCTCTTTATGAGTGAAACATTCTCAAAAAGGACGTAAAACATACAATCAATCAATCTTATATGGACCAAGAATGTTTCATATGAAACAGAATTTAAGATATGCATACCAATACATGCATTGTACAACTTTATTCATCATATTGGTAATTAGAGTTTGCAAGGTAATACCAGTATACTCACAGGTAACCCTTAAGGCCGTTAGGCCAATGGTTTCTTCTTTTCTTCATATGCAAATTGTACTGATCAATCCTACTGCGTATATGAGGCGAATACTGTTAAAAACGAAATAAATATATTTTTTCTTGAAACGAATTACTTATTCATTTCAGGAGACAGAGGAATGTGCTAATAGCAAGACATCAGGATCTTCTGGATTAAATCTTGACGACCGTACTAGATTTGCCAAAGTTGGAATGGCGATTAATGATGTATTGACACAGACCCTTAGAGACATTTTGCAAAATAATATACCCTCTTCTAAAATTTTTGTCAAGGTGAATGCATCAAAGAGATATAAAGATCTCAATGGTGAGCAACAAAATCTTTTGCAAGATGCCACAAATTCTGGTTATGAGAAATTTGATATAACACTTTTGTACACCTTGATCAGAAATTTTTCAACAATCACTAAGCCTACAAGAGGTTGGGGTTTGAAGGCCTTACCTGCACCAGGGGAGATAACTGAGGGCGATGACGTGGAAAGGATCAGACTGATACGAAACAATGTGTTTGGTCACGTTAACTCAGCTTCAACCTCACAACCAGTGTTTGATGATTGCTGGTCAATCATCTCCGATATCTGCACGCGACTTGAAAGCTATACAGGAAAAAGCTACTTGAATGATCTTAGTTACATAAAGAATCTTTCCTTAGAAGAAAATAAACGAGAGGCAATTATAGATCAAATCAAAGTTGAATGTAAGCATGACAAAGAAATCCTCGAGAAAATGCATTCAATAGAGTCAAACATGCATTCCTTAAGCGCTGGTATGCATTCGATGATGACAGATGTGAAAGAAATAAAAACAGCCATGGAGTTCGAGAAGAAAGGTGACAATAAATATCACTTTTCATACATATTTGAAAAAATTATCTATTTTTAAATGTTTTGGTGACTTCAGTTTTATGCTATCTACTTACAGGTGCGCAGCGTAGAGGTCTAGGAATTTGCAAAATCCTGTGAATATGTTCGATGTAGTGTTTACCATGAAAAAGACAAACTGTAAATATTTTGTATCAACAAATTACATTGTTGAAGCCAACTGACTTTTAAAAATGTCATTCTTTTAGAGCATGCAAACATTTTTAACTTTGAATTTCCACTGTGCATAGCAATCATTATTTATATCATTTACTAATTCATATTCATAAAAATATTAGCATATTAATTTTGGATAATATCTGTATATAATGAAAATAGAAATAAATGTTTTTGGAAAAAGTTTGAGACATACGTTCTAGGGGTAGACGAAAGGAAACATTAATGAGCAGTATGGCAAGCCCTTTTACTATGTATTTATGAAGTAAAAAAAATCAATAATAAAGATGTATCTCAAGCATACATGTATTTCAAATTACGCCGTATGTTAGGCAAACGTAAGCCAAGCATTGGTGATACATCTAAGGATGCATACTACATGTACAAGGTTTGCTTCAGATGCTGGATCTGATTTACTTTTTCCGTATAAGTGACTTGGTAAATGTTTTTTGTGCAGGTTTATTGTTAATGCAAACGATTTTTTTTATCAGTTTCATTTTAATAACTGATTTATAGAAATGTTGCATTATATATTAAATTTTGGTTCAGTTGCATGCACTGAGAACAAAATTAATTCGAACCTTGTATTCTTCTATAAATGTTGATGAACACCTGCACTTATCATCTATGCATTTAATCTAATAGGTGTCTTTTGTTTGTTTTTGGGAAGTATTACTGTTACTGTACCTCCTAAGAAAAACGGTCATAAATGTTATATTTGACAATGTAATTTAAACTAAATAAAAAAAATCCAATGGCCTTGTTTGTAAAATCTATCCAGCTAAGGTCAGCCAACCAAAAATGGACATTTAAGGACATATGCAACGTACCTTACCTACTGATAGATTTCCAAGATATTCCAAATTTAAACTTATAATATAATTACATGTTTATAGACAAAAATCAGCATGCCTTACAAGAGGTTTTGAAAAGATATCGAATTTTGAAAATGTTTGCATTATTCAAATAAAAATGTACAAAAATTATAAAACATAAATTTCAGATTTTTTTTCCTTAAAAAATTGTGTTAGAAGAGGTGAACAATTCCATTTAAAGACATTAAAAATACTGCACACAGGTCCTTCATTTAGTGGAACTCTTCAACTCCAGGGGAGAACCCAAAAAAGTCCAAACTACGTTGCGTATGACCTTAAATCATGAATGTTTTGTACAAATAATTACTGCAAATCACACGCCAATCTTCTTTACAGATGATGAAAAAAGTGGTAACATAATCTTTATTGAACTTGACAAAAAATAAAAATCTCTCTCTCCCTGGTTGATAATGAAAGGTTCCAGCATTAAAGAATGTTCATAGAATTTTTCTTCCGTATTACCTTTTACTACTTGGGATTTTAATTTTTCGCGAGAGATGATCGAAAACGATTTTCATGTCATTGCCAGTAGCATAATTGCACGCTTTGACTCTGAGATATCTGTCTCCCCGAAAATAAATGGCTGCTCAATCTCAACATTTGCTCTAATATCTGAATTTGTTAAAGGCATTTCAAGAGTCCCTAGATTGAAACAGCCTTCTTTGTCCACGTATTCTGGATTCTTCTCGTTGGAGATGAAGACTCCATAGTTCAGTATTTTTTCGCCTTGTTTGAGAGTGTTAAAAAAGTAAGATTTCAATAAACCGGCTTCAATGCGGTCACCATTGGAAATAATTTTAAAAAGTACATCCCGACATCTGTCTTCGCCATTTATTTTATGTTTTTTATCAAGAGAATGTCTTGTTTCGTTGGCATAACTTGAATTCCATATGTATAGGAAGCGACTCGACGCGAAACCAGATCCTTGTGGTGACCAGAATAGACTGCCCCCTTCAGAATTGCTAGACCTGCTTGATAGGGAATCACAAAACGCTTATTTGCAAACTCCTTTGTGAATTTTTCTTGAACTATTCCGCACTCAGAGAAGTCACTAATCATTAAAATGTCATCAACACCGTATTCCACTCGGAATATCTAAAACAAATGTACGATAAACTTCTCGATCGTCTGAGTGAACAATATTTTCTTGTAGAAATCAACTGGCATCACAAGTTTTCCTCGTTTACTGGTTAAGTTTTCATCTCTATGTATTGATTTCTGTATGGGCGCATTTATTATAGCATCATGTCCTCCTTGTCTATTTGTTTTCTCTTTCACTATTTCAGTCATAGCTAAAGGTATTGTTAGATGCCCCATATCAGTTATTGTGTTCTTTACAAACCCTCTGTTTTTAATCCTAAAATCCTGCCAGAAATGTATGTAATCTAATGTATACTCCAAGTCATATTTGAATGTCTCCATCAATTCTTCTCCAAAAATATCTTTCAGCAGGTTCAAGTTGGCTTTATCAACACAAGCCCAGTCCCATTCTCCACCACTTGCCGGTATCACCTTTGCCAAAGTCCCGTGTTGTTTAAGCTGATGCACATTTATGTCAGCAGTTTCATCTAAAAAACCAGAAGTCTCTGTCGAGACTGTAGCTCTACTGGTAAGTACTTATCAAAAACCATTACACTATTTTATGTGTCTTTGTGTAGTCTACTTGTGCGCCAACTTATTTTGAATCAAACTAGAACTGAAGAAGGAGTAGCGTTTTTAAGGAATTTCACAGAAAATTCTATTTTAAGTAACCATGGTAACACCGTTCATCGAAATCAAAAACCGATGCACTATTCTATGTATCTTAGGGTAGTCTACTTGTGTGCCAAGTTATATTGAAATCAGCCCAAAACTGTGGAAGGAGTAGCGTTTTTAAGGAATTTCACAGAAAATTCTATTTTAGTAACCATGTCAACACTGTTCATCAAAATCAAAAACCGATGCACTATTCTATGTATCTTAGGGTAGTCTACTTGTGTGCAAAGTTATATTGAAATCAGACCAAAACTGTGGATGGAGTAGCGTTTTAAAGGAATTTTACAGAAAATTCTATTTTTAGTAACCATGGCAACACCGTTCATCGAAATTGAAAACCGATGCACTATTCTATGTATCTTAGTGTAGTCTACTTGTGTGCCATGTTATATTGAAATCAGACTAAAATTGTAGGAGGAGTAGCGTTTTGAAAAATTGTTTACAGACGGACAGACAGACAGACGGACGGACGCCGGACGCATTACTATCGCATAAGGACCAGTAGAGCTAAAAATTAAGCATTATTGAGAAATTGAATAAAACTTCAGGTCCGTATACACTGTGTATGTTTAAACAATTTTTTTGGGGGGGCATTTGTAATGATTGAGCCTTTTGTCAACAATTTTTGGTAAAGCAAAGAAAAAACTGATTACTCTTCAGGAAACTGACAAACTCTAAAAGCGTTAATAGCATAGACAGCTATAATATGACTGGAGTCAATGATACCAATTTTAGTTTGAATTAACTTTTATCACAATTCTGGGAAAAATCTGTACAATCTTGAGTACTTGCCTCCAAGATCCACAACCATATATTTAATGCCCAACTCCCGTGTAAAGCTGCCGTGTTCTTTGTCCTGCTCAACAGCATCAAATTGCATTAGTTGGCAATAGATAGATGCTGCCTCTGGTTCTAATGCAATCTGCAATTGTTTGTCTGGCAATCCAGCCTGCCGTTGAAAAAATGAGCTACGTCAATTCTTTATTACTATTCATATCTGCATAATTATGCTTCAAGTACAAGTTTCGATTAGGTAAAAGAAACTGCTTACAATTGGGAAAAAAGCGTATATAGTCTTACTTTTATAGCTGCCTCTATCATGAACATTTTTGCAGAGTCGTTCCAAATTGCTGGTATAATGAGTACAAAGTCAATGCCTTCTACCTTTAACTTGTTGTTTAGAGTACTGCTGCGTATAGTGTCCATAAGATGGCCTTAAAGATATTTGGTACAATGAATTAATATCGGCATAGCTTTCATTTCTCGTCCGTTTTCATCTTTGCACATTGTTTCTTTATGAACCCTCTAATAAATAGAATTGGATATATATTTATTTCATGTACACTTTACCGGTATTTTACTGCATAAATAAAGATATAACTATACATTTACTGAATGGAGTTGAGGTCGTCGACCCCTCGACCAATCTGTTTGCCTTCGGCCTGTTTGGTTCTGGATCCGACAAAACACATGTTACCTACCCTCGAACCCTTCCAATAAATGTTCTTTCATACTGTATAGCGGGTTTCTTTAGTGAGCGCATTTTGACGTGTTGATTTTTCAAAGGTATGCCAATTATTTTGGCGGGATTTTTTTGGCAGACACACAGTTCCATGTCATTGTAAAAAAAATCCTATAAATGGGTATATAGTAGAATTAAACTACGTTTGATACTGAATTACTCAAGGACTTTGGTGAAAACAAAAACCAGATGAAAGATACATTGCTAAACAACAAACAAATAAATACTTCCTTTCGGTAAAATGAAATACTTGTGCACAAGGGTGCATATTTAGCGATAAAATATTAAGCGGACTAATTCAAAACCGCTAAAATAGGCCAAAATTACAACCCCACAAAACATTTCTGCTGTATATGTATATTTTTTGGCATAAATGTATCTTGTACTGTCTTCCTTAAATGTAAATTTCATCTCCCCGCACTGATGTCAAAAGCCGTCAATTCCTTCACTGTCAAACACCAACGAAATAGGAATCCAATAAAGAAATGAGATATAATTTTCAGAGTTTCATTGGGGTATGACATGAAGTCGGTCACGTGATCAATTCTATAACGCCCAAAGGGCGTTAAAGTAGATTTGATCACGTACTAACTTCATTTCATACCCCCCCAATAATATTTAATTTCTTGTATTTATATTTAACGTTTTCATTCATGTTACAAAGAAATAAGGCATTATTAAGACTTCGATTTTGAAATACAACGTAAAATTCCTACGACGTCATGTAACGTGGAAAATTTCCAAATTGCTTGTTCAGTTTGCTTTCCATACGCAAGAAAGTAAGATCATATGACCAACTGCATGTCATTGAAAATTGAATTTCAATTTTACAAGCATTGTTATATAAGAAAAGACATCAGCAAATGTAAATATATCAGATAAAGCTTACAATTTTTAAAGGTAAAACAAGGGCGAAATGAAGACTTGAATTGTATAAGATCTCTGTGACGTGAAGGAACCATAGAACCTGTGCATCAGAAGTGGAGGGGGGGGGCAAAGTTCGTGTCCCCTCTAATAATCACAGGCAGACGAAGCACCGAAAAACCCTTGCCCCACTCCCCACCAGCAATCTTCCTTTTTTAATGTCAAATTTACTTAACGTATACAAATTCTTCATTTATTAATCATACCTCAAATATCTAAATAATTTTTTTTAAGTGACGAATCTCTTTTCACATGTAGAAG